TTCGTGTAACGTGTTTATAACTTGATGTAGTTAATAATATTATTATTAGCATTGTAGTAATGCATTGTCCGTTCTGTGTACTGTCCGTTCTGAATGTCATCCACTTTGTGTTAAGTTCGTCTGATGTTATATTGTTTAAGTATATTTTATTAGTTTGTTCGTTCGTAATATACTGTTGAATAACAGTATTGTTATTGTAATAGATTGTTTATAAATGTTATTAAATAATTTGTAAATGCTTTAGAGACCTGCAGAATCTTGTTGGCATGCATAGGTATGTATATACATATATTTAAATTATAAATGCAATTGCTCGTTTCATTTTATTGTTTGTTATTCAGTCATATTGTTTGTTATTAAGTTTGTTTGAGTACTCTAGTAATTTCCTTTTACTTTGCTGTGAAACTAATGAATCATGCTAGTAAAATGTATATTTGATGTTGTAATGATATCCTTCTTTAATCATTGCTGTCTGTGTTTGTCTACATTTGTATATGTGTTAAGCATTCAGTAATAGCTGATTTATGTCTTCAGATTGAAGCTTTGCATCGATTGTATATTGTAATATTAATAATAATATTTGTTTTTGCTAGATTGCTTCATTCTGAGATCAATGAGGTTTTATGCTAACATATATTTGTTGCATAGATGTTATGTCTGGCTGCAGGCATCTTGCTATGTGTCTAGGTACATTGTATATGTATTATATTATGAATGTATTGTTCGTTCGTTTGCTTTACATTATTGTTTATAGTTATGTATTAATTTATTAACATTATGTTTGTTAATTGATTGTTTCTAATACATTCTGAGTAACTATACAATCTGTTGCATTGTTTCTTTAATAGCCAACATAGTTATCTGTTGTAAATCATTTCTATTGTGTGTTCATATTATTTATTATTAACAATGTTGTTGTGAATTGTTGTAATCATAGTATTGTGTATATATATGTGTGTATGTTATGGCTATTGTTCTTTGCTTTTTCTTTTGCAAAGAATAATGTATTGTAACACAATCTGTATATAATTGATATATCAGATTATGTTTACTATAATTGTTTCCTAGCATTCTTTAGTTAATCTAGTGCTATGTACAATTGTAGTATTTGTTCAACGTTTTATTTATTAATTGGTTTGTTAGGTAAAACGTTTTATATATTGGTTTTATTTATTTTATTTGAATCATTGTATAGATATACCTATTAGTATCTATCTGATGTATTTCATAGTATTATAATACTGTTCACACTTGTATTAATTGCACAGTGAGAGCAAATTAATTGTTTGTACAAGAATCAATTTAATAGTTTTATTTAATTATATGTATGTGCTCCATACTTGTTTTTATAGTTATTATCTGTGTATTGTTTGGTTGTAGTTACAAATTATATTACAATTATATTCGTATTATTGTATGGATATATTATTTATTGTTTTATGTATGTTCCAAAGTATTATTTTCGTTATTCATCACTTTTATCCATGAACTATAGTCTGGATTAATGAATTATTTTGTTATATGATGTGATAATTGTCTGTATATTATTTATTTTTGTATTAAACACTGTTAAGTTAATTATATTATCATATTAATATTATTTGCCAAGTATGAGCATTTGTTTCATAGTAGAATTATTATTTATTTAATGTTGAAGTTCAATCACACATTGTATTAACTTCTGTTATTTAGTTCTGATCAACATAGTTTTGCTTCATACTGAATGATTTACCTTTATGATCTGTTATGTCTGTCTGTAACTTCTATTACTTAGTCAGTACTTAGTCTGTGCATTTTGTTATTCTATTTTTTGTAGTGTCCATAGCATTATACTTTCTGTTCTGTTGTTTATAGTTAGTTATTAATTTTTTGTACATATTATCCATTTTCTCCCCTTCAATTCAAGAAGGTATTTCTTCAAAGAATTGGATATTTCTTTAACGTTTATTAATCATTGTTATAATATAATATTTATATATATAATTGTAATTGCTTCTGTGGTTCAATTTCTAATTATTAGTATTTTAAAGTAGTGTGTAACATTTGTTATGTTCTATAATGAGTAATTTAAATGTTATTACTATTATATCTTTGTTACTGTTAACGTTTGTCAACTTATATAATGTGTATTTTGTTTGTTATAGTAGATAAGTACACATTATGTATAATATACAAGTTTTGTTTGCACTCATTATCTTTTATTAATAATTGTTCATAACTATGAATGAATATTTTGTTTTTGTGTTGAAAACATATGGTAATTCGTTTGTTTCCATATAATATTCGTTTAATAACATTGTAATTATTATTTATGTAGTGCTTTTAGTAAATGCACTGAGTTCTATTAAGTATGCTCACATCCATTATTACCTATTTTATATTATACTGTCCAAGATAATAGCTTAAACATTTTATTAATTTATTTAATCATATTATATTATGATTGTTTTTGATTGTAATTATTATAATAATGTGTTCATAATAATAATATTTGTATTATTCATTGTAATAGCCTTATCAGCTTAATACTTTGCTCCTACAAGCTATGTTGTCACAATGTAAATTTAATAATTGTTTGTTAAGGTATATACACTGTACAGTTGATGTTACTGTTGCAACTTCGAAATTTATTATATAATCAGCTGCCATGATAACACGTTCTGTATAGTTAAGTTGTATTGATGCATTGTTTTGAGTATAATAGAGATATAATTCTTTTGTTTGTTGTTAGTATACATTTACACAATTGTATTAATGTGTAAAGTAGTATCATTTGTTTAATAATTATAATTTTTGCACTTGTCTTGTGCTGTAATCAGTATTTATGTGTTATAACATTATTCTTTTGTGTGTAGTTAGTTTATACACTCTATAGTGTTGTTTTTTGGTTTGTAGTTATTCATTATACTTTTGTATATCTGTACTTGTCTGTATATCTTAGATATGCATATTATATTTAGTATCTGATAAGTAATTGTGATATCCAACATGTAACCACTGAATCCAATATGTTACATATAATTGCTCAACCATGATATGTGTTATTTATTATATTGTTCTGTATTTGTTCCATTAGTTCTATCCATATTATTATTATTATTATTGTTGTTATTATTGTTGTTATTATAGTGTCTGCAATTGTATTATTGTTTATAATACATGTTAAATGTTTTATTTAGTTGATTTAATATACTGTTTAGCATATATGTGCTCAATTTGAGCATTAATTGTTTGGCCATGATATTACTATATGTGTTATTATTTGATTCATACTATAACATATGTGTGCTTGTTGACAGTGTCAATCATTTGTACTATTGTAATGTTAATAGCAGAAGAGTAGCATTTACTTTATTAATCTCTTTAACATTTGTCTATAGTATGATCAGTTAATTTATTATAACATAATCTCCATGATATTATAGAATATTTTAGCATTTAATAATCACAGTAAGTGATACTCATTGTAGTTTCAACATTGCCTGCATAGATTACATTACTACTGGGCCAATGATCATAATCACTAAGATGATGATCATATAATGTCTGGGTTGTATGTAGTATAGTAGATTGTGTGTCTGTAGTGTATTGATTTGTGTTTGGGATACTCAGACAAGTGAGTCAAGTTCTGCATCATAGTATGCTGTGTGTGTGCATGTGATGCATAGAACTGTATAGAGCATAGACATAGTAGAGTGTAGATAAAGTGTAGGCAGGGAGCTCAAGACTCATAACCTGTTAAGAAAGGGGAAGAGAGGTTATGTGAGAGGCTTAGAGGGATCACACAAAGAGGGGGGGATAGTGGACTCAGCTTGCTCTCTTGCAGCTTACTTCATTGTCTGTTGATTAGTTAGTCTATATATACTATGTA